ATTCTATAAGCAATGTAGGCATTTGGATAAGAATCAAATCCGTTATTTGATTGAGTATATCAATTAAACTGTTAACTTCTAATTGTACTATTTTTCTTAAAACTTTTAATTCAGAAAATAAATTTAAATGATCAATATTAGATTGATCATTATACTTTAAGGAACATTTAAGATTAAGGCAATATTTTTAAAAATTTTATTACCTAGTGATATCAATTTTTTATCGCTAAATAGAACATCAAAAATATTTTCATATGCTTCGAACTGTTCAAATCTATTTTGAAGTGAAAAAATAGCCTTGTCTAGTATGTATAAAAAGTAATCAACCCTCAAAGACTCTTCGAGAGATTTTGAGATTTCATTATCAACATTCTCATCAAATTGTTTCTTCCTATATATAACACGTTTCTTACGAAATTCGAGTTCGATATTCATTTCAAATGCAATTTTCTTGACAGAATCATAGCAGTTACAAACCCTTCTTCTCTATATTTGTTAAAGAAAGAAATCAAACATTTTCACTTCACACAACTTTTCTTTTTAACTTATATATAGCCTATTAAATGTAACAAAAAATGGGACCCCATAAACGTGGGGCCTAAAGGAGTTGCTTTACCTACTTTAGGGAAGGGTCGCCCCTGCCTGTAAGCCAAAATCACAGACAAGAAAATTAATAGATAAGTATGTTTGGTATGACAAAAAATGGTTTTCAACAAGTACGTATTTTCTGGCGGAAATTATTTTTTTAAAATCTATCTCAATTTTTGATTTCGTATTACTGCTCTAAGCAAAACTTAAACATTGTTGTCAGTTTGTAATACCAAATTCGATCAAAATACTATTTGATTGGTAATATTATTATCAATCTTTAATAAATATCTTTTTTTTAAAAGATATGTTTCCTTCTCCAACCAAATGCCATGAAAAACAAACGCAACTGAAATTGAACTCTCTTCCTTTCGCCTCCTCTATTTTCACAGGCCAGCCCGGCCCCATTATAAAAGAAATTGGAACAATATCTACAAAAATAAATTACGAATTTCGTTAATTAGGAATTGAATGATTGTGCTTAGATTTGTAATTTTGGTTTTCTGTTTCTTCTTCCACGGTATATCCTTATGTTCATTTTGTTCATAGTTCCATTTGATGTGATGACATTTATACAGATCGCAATAATGCAAAAAGGAAAAGGAAAAAGATGTTGGAGTTACATAAACATACAGGTGTTGGAGTAAACATACAGCCTTGGGCCATAGTCCTATAGAACAGATTTGGGCCAAAGTCAGCCCAATAATTGTATTTATATTAGCCCAGTTAGATTAATAGAATATCAGCCCGGTTAGATTGATAGAATAAGACTATTTTGCCCTTTGTATATATAGGTGTATATACTCCTCTAGAACTTTCTGATTCAGATGAATAAAAAGTCTAATTTTTCTTTCTTTCTCCGTCTTCCCTCTTCAAACTGAAACCCTAGATTCATCTCGTCAGTTTTGTTCAATTACAATGTTAACATGGTATCAGAGCACGGTTTTTGGGTAGATTCAAGCGTGATAAATCGAGCGGTGTTGGCCCTGTTGTTTGAATCGAAAGAGAACGAAGATTTTGCTGGTTTTTTGGTTCGATGAACGGAGATTTCTAAAATTCCAGCGAGGATTCTTTTAGTTTCTGACGGTCATCTCCTATTCCAACAAGTTTATCAGTTTTGAGTATTTCATGGCTCACTTCTTCGAGTATAAAGGAAGAAGATCGGTAACCCTAATTTTTCTGTCCTTTGCATCATAGCTGGTTGTATTTTCCTTCATTGATGTATGTTTAGTGTCATTTTTCGACTTTGATTCTGAATTTCTGTTTTGTTGCACGATTTTGTCCCAAATTGTTGAACTATGGTAAATCCTGGAACTTCTACTGAAACTCCGTATAATCCTGATCCTTCAAGTCCTCTTTTCGTACATTCTTTTGATATTCTTGGAACATGCCTAGTTTGTACTCCCTTCTCTGGGTCTGGTTATGGGGGATGGAAGAGAAGCATGATAGTGTCGCTTTCTGCTAAAAACAAAATCTCTTTTGTTGATGGCTCTTGTCCTAGACCTTCGAGTAATGACGATTCTGCAAAATTACGACAATGGGATAGATGCAATAATATGATAATTTTGTGGCTAAACAGTTCACTCTCACCAGCTATTGCTGAGAGTGTCCAGTACTCAGAAACTGCTGAGAGTATCTGGAAACAACTGGAGCGTAGATATGGGGATGTGAATGGGACTAAGGTTTTTGAAATTAAAAAGGAGTTAGCATCAACTTAGCAAGGGTCTCTTGACATTGCTTCATACTTTAATAAATTGATGAAACTTTGGGATGAGTTGGGGACATGCGTAAAAATCATGGTAATTCATGTACTTGTGCTGCTAAGCCAGGCATTCAAAAAGACGAGGAGGAGGATAAACTACATCAGTTTCTTATGGGCTTGAATGAGGTTTATGTGGGGGTTAGGAGTAATCTGTTGATGATGCAGCCTCCTCCTTCTCTTGATAGTGCATATAATATACTCCTTCAAGATGAGAATCAAAGACAAGTTCATTTCAGTCCTCAACTTACTCCAGAGTCTGCTTCTTTTTCTGCCAAAATGAATAATAAGACATTCCCTCCAAAACAGTACAATAAAAAGATAGATTTTGGACAGTCCAAAATCAATGTCTTCTGCAAGTATTGTAAGAAATCAGGTCACACAATTGAAAAATGTTATAAACTTCATGGGTTTCCCCAGAATTTCAAATTTAATAAGGAAAAGAGGGTAGCTACAAATGTGTCCACTGAATTTGGGTGTCCATATCCTGGTCAGAACATAATTCTCCTCAGTTTTGTGATGGTACTTCTGTTAATGGAACTCCTGGTCAAGTCTGTGATGATCAAGCCTCATCTATTCCTGGTTTAACCAAATTGGTTATGATTCTGATTCTCAATCCAACTTGATGGGTTCTGCAAATCTTGCAGGTAGTATTTTGTCTCTGCCTGTGTATTTTGACAATGAATCTCATGCTTGTTTGTTGTCTGGGGCTAGTAGAAGTGTATGGATCATAGATAGTGGGGCCACTGATCACATGACCTCTAATAAAGACATACTCTTTAACATCATACCACTAACTACTCCTTACTTAGTGACTTTACCTAATGGATACAAGGCAAAAGTTACTTGTATAGGATCTGTTACTTTGTCCCCCTCTTTGACTCTTCATCAAGTACTATACATTCCATCTTTTCACTACAATCTGATTTCTGTCCACAAGTTGATTCAACAACTCAAGTGCTTAATTCTGTTTACTTCTTGTTCATGTATTCTCATACAGGACCTTTCCATGAGGAAGCTTCTGGAACTTGGTAAGTTGGACCAAGGACTTTACAAGCTTCTTCATGAGGATCACACTACTCCTGGTTCTGGATTCCCTGTTTCTGTTTTTAGTAAGAATGTACACTCTAAGAATGTTTCTGATGTTCCATTAACAAAGTTGTACCAAATAAAAGTGCTTTGAATTCTATTCCTTTAGTTCCTTCTGATGATGTGCATAGTATAAATAAACATGATGTATTGTGGCATCATAGGTTGGGACATATTCCTTTTGCTAAAATGAGGCTCATTCCTTCTATATCTGTTGATTTATTTCTAAACAATCCTTTACATGTCCTGTTTGCCCATTAGCAAGGCAAAACAGATTGCCTTTTTCTCATAGCACTTCTATTTCTAATTCCTTGTTTGAATTGATTCATGTTGACACATGGGGACCTTATCACACACAAACATATAGATATTTTCTTATCATTGTGGATGATCATAGTAGGGCCACTTGGACTCATTTAATGCATTCTAAAAGTAATCCCTTTTCCTTGTTGAAAGCTTTCATAGCTATGATCAAAACCCAATTCAATCTTCATGTTAAGACTGTAAGGAGTGATAATGCCTTAGAAATAGGGCTCTCCAATTCTGCTTTACAATACTTCTCTGAAAATGGTATTATCCGCCAAACATAGAATGGTGTAGTTGAGAGAAAACACAAACACCTTCTAGAAACAGCAAGAGCATTATTATTTCAATCAAAAATCCCAACAAAATTTTGGGGAGATTGTATTTTGACTGCCACATACCTAATAAATAGATTTCCTTCAACTGTTTTACACAATTAAACCCCTTTTGAAGTTTTATATGGCAAATCACCTTCCTATACACATTAGAAGCCATTTGGTTGTCTATGCTATGCTACCATCCCCAAGTGCAACAGAGACAAACTAGATCCTAGGGTAGCCCCTTGTGTGCTTGTTGGTTATCCATTTGGTAGAAAGGGTATAAATTGTACAATCTCTCTACTAGAAATGTGTTTGTATCCAGAGATGTGGTCTTCCATGAGTCGATTTTTCCATTCCTTTTATCTTCTCCTTCTCCTACACTTACTGTTCCAATGCCTCCTATTCCTAATGATTATTTTTGTCCTTCCCAATCTGAAACTTCAACTTCTTCATTTCCCTGTTCTGTTCCTCCTTCAACCATTACATCTCCAGATCCTCCTACTCTTTGTACTACTCCTGCACCTTTTAACTCATGCTCTGACCCTCCTCCTGAAGTTAGAAGGAGAAGCAGACCTCACACTCTACCTTTCCATCTTAATGATTTTATAACACTGCTTCCTCCTTCCCTTTCTGGCTCTACTTCTACATCACTTTATGTTGCCCAATCAACAGCAACTGAGCCTCATTCTTATACTCAGGCATCTGCCAGCCCTGCTTGGCAGGAGGCAATGAGGCAAGAGTTTGATGCTTTAGAAGCAAATAAGACTTGGACAATAGTTGAGCGACCTAAAGGCAAGAAACCAATAGGTTGCAAATAGGTGTATAAAATTAAACATAAAGCTGATGGTAGTGTGGAAAGGTATAAGGCTAGATTGGTGGTACGGGGTGATACACAAATTGAAGGGATTGATTTTCATGAAACATTTTCCCCGGTTGTCAAGATGTGCACCATCCGGTGTCTTGTGGCTTTTGCTGTCAAGAAAGGGTGGTCTCTCTTTCAATTAGATGTCAACAACGCATTTCTTCATGGTGATTTAGATGAGGAGGTGTACATGAAACTACCTCCAGGTCTTAATGTTACTTCCAATGTTCAGCCCTCTTCTATTTTTGTTTGCAAGCTTCAAAAATCCCTTCATGGCTTAAGACAAGCATCTCGTCAGTGGTATGCCAAGTTATCCACTGCACTTTGCTCTAGAGGTTATGTTTCTTCTTTAAATGATTATTCTCTCTTCATCAAGAAATCTGCCAATTCTACTGTTTTCCTTGCTGTTTATGTGGATGATATTATTCTTACAGGTGATGATCATGCTGAAATTTCTGCCCTTAAGGAGTTCCTTAACGACCAATTTAAAATCAAAGATTTGGGTCTACTCAATTACTTTCTTGGGATTGAAGTTTTCTATGATAATTCTGGGGTTATTCTTCATCATCGGAAGTTTATTGCTGATTTGCTTCGTGAATTTGGTTGTGCTTATGCTTCTACTGTGGTTTTTCCTCTAGAGTTGGGTGTCAAGCTAACATCTGATGATGGGGAGTTATTGCCTAGGCCTGACTCTTATAGGAGTTTAGTTGGTAAACTTAACTTTCTCACCCATACTAGACCTGATTTGTGTTTTGCTGTACAACACTTAAGTCAGTTTCTCAAGTGTCCTAGGGTGCCTCATATGAATGCTGCTCTTCACATTTTGAGATATTTGAAAGGCACTCCTGATTTTGGGGTTTCTCTTAATACCTCTTCTGATTTTTCTTTGCTTGCCTATTGTGATAGTGATTGGGCTGCTTGTTCTGAGTCTCGTAGGTCTGTTTCTGGTTTTTGCATAACTCTAGGTGGAAGCTTCATAAGTTGGAAATCTAAGAAACAGTCTGTTGTTTCATTATCCTCTGCTAAGGCTGAGTATCGGGCCATGAGTAAGGTTGTGGCTGAACTGGTTTGGTTGGTTTGTTTGCTCACTGATTTGGGAATTCCTTCTGTGTCTCCTGTTCCTATCTATTGTGATAATCTGGCTGCTTTGCACATTGCGAAATATCCCGTGTTTCACGAACGTACTAAACACATCGAAGTGGACTGCCATTTCATAAGGACAAAGTTAGCTGATGGCCTAATTTCTTTACATCATATCTGCACTACTTCTCAACTGGCTGACATTTTTACCAAGTGTTTGACAGGTGGACAGCATCATTTGTTGCTTGGCAAGTTGGGAGGCCTCATCCTCCAACTTGAGGGGGGTGTTGGAGTTACATAAACATACAGGTGTTGGAGTAAACATACAGCCTTGGGCCATAGTCCTATAGAACAGATTTGGGCCAAAGTCAGCCCAATAATTGTATTTATATTAGCCCAGTTAGATTGACAGAATATCAGCCCGGTTAGATTGATAGAATAAGACTATTTTGCCCTTTGTATATATAGGTGTATATACTCCTCTAGAACTTTCTGATTTAGATGAATAAAAAGTCTAATTTTTCTCTCTTTCTCCGTCTTCTCTCTTCAAACTGAAACCCTAGATTCATCTCGTCAATTTTTTTCAATTACAATGTTAACAAAAGATTGAAAGTATAACAGCTTAGTCAAAAAGGTTGACGAAGTTATACATAATTAAGGTAGAACTTTTGGGTCTACAACTCTACTTTCAGCAACTTGTTAAGTGTAAGGTCCCAAGCTTAATACCAAACCCTATAATGGTATTTTCAGAAAGACGAATCACATTTTCCTTTTATTGACTAGTCAGTGAATATTTATTAAATCGATCTTTTGCTTTGATGATTAAATGGATTAATTGATTTTGTCACCCATTATTTTATTTTATTTTAGTTTTATGTCTGTATACGATCGAAATCATGTATGCCCGATTTTATAGGCTCGGGAGTTACTTCGAGAATAAGTTCAAAGGGGACGTGGCTCGAGCCCGATGGCGGAGTATGGAACTTGAGGATCGAAGTGCACGATGAAAACCAAGGCCGAGTATGATCAACCACGAGATAATACCGTTATGGTTTTATAAAAGAAAGAGCAAGATTCCCGCAACGGCCCGAAGATCACGGCATAAATTCCGGAATTGATTTGTCCTTGGCGGTTAGACAGTTGTCCAATGAGATTCCGTACTATAATTAGAAGTGTACCTTATTTAGGATTCCCCTATTATATAAAGGGGAGCCCATTCATTTGTAACGCACGATTCATCAACAAGAGAATATACACTCATCATTTTCTTGCTTACGTTCATCAGAGTTGCCTTATAATTTACTGTTCTTACTAGCCCACCTAGAGATTGTCATAGCTCGAGGTCGAGACTTGGCTTGCATACTGGTTTGACTTGCTTCATTCTTCAATTTATATATTTAACTCCTTGTTTATCAATTGGTATTGAATTAAATCACATATCTTTAAAACCACAATATAAGTTTAATTGTTACTCGGATTTCAGGGTAAACAGTTTGGCGCCCACCATGGGGCTAGGGATAATAGTGGTTGTTTCAGTACTGATTCTGATAACTCACATTATTTTCACACTTGTTCTTGTCAAAAAATTTTGTTCTCAAGTTAAAACATGTCAAATTCACAAAACGCGCCCGCACATGGTGATGATGGTCTTGGATTTCACGGGGAAAATGATAACGTAATTGCTCCGGCAGCCGGGGTGCCACCGGCTAATCTCGGGGGAGTTCCGGTCGATCCAGTCGATATCAGTTTGCACATTGCTTTGAATGCGGATTTAGGCGCAAACCCCGAAGGGAGTGTACGCAGGGAAGGCCGATCTGGTGGACAAGGAACACAGGGTGTAGGAGACGGGGAAGTTAGCCTCCAGGTAATATTCGAGATGCTACAGGCTCAGCAGGTTGCTATCGCTTAGCTTCAAAGTCAACATAGAACACCGAGCGTGGCCAAACCAGAGATCACTCGCCGTACCGAGCCAGTGCCAGAAAGGTTGAATGGTAACGGATCAGGGACTCATCCTGCAATTATGACGATGTTCGAGGAGCTCACAAAATGAATCGAGTCGGGAGAGAAGAAAATTGAAGATAACGATAAAAAGGTAGAAACATACAACTCCCGGGTTGATTAGATACCAGGGGCACCCCCGATCTTAAAAGGTTTGGATGCAAAAAAGTTCGTCCAAAGGCCTTTTCCTCAGAGTGCAGCTCCGAAGCCCATTCCTAAGAAATATCGCATGCCAGATATACCTAAATACAATGGGACAACCGATCCTAATGAACACATCACTTCGTACACATACGGGATTAAAGGAAATGACTTAAATGATGATGAGATCGAGTTGGTTTTGTTGAAAAAATTTGGGGAAACTTTGTCAAAGGGAGCAGTGATTTGGTATCACAACCTTCCGCCAAATTCCATCGACTCATTTGCCATGTTAGCAGATGCCTTCATGAAGGTGCACGCCGGGGCCATAAAGGTCGCAACAAGGAAATCAGACATTTTTAAGATAAGATGGAGCGGTGATGAAATGCTTATGGAGTTCGTATCCCGATTTCAAATGGAACACATGGAGTTGCCACCGGTCACAAATGATTGGGCCGTTCAAGCTTTCACCCAAGGGTTGAACGAGCGAAGTTCGATAGCATCACGACAGTTGAAATAAAACTTGGTCGAGTATCCAGCTGTAACCTGGGCAGATGTGCACAACCGATATCAATTGAAGATCAGGGTCGAGGACGACCAATTAGGATCCCCTTCCAGTTCAGTACATCCAAACAGGTTGGCAGTTAAAACCCAGAGGGACATCGACAGGTAACCAAGGTCGAACAGGGAGCGATATCAACCATATATCGCAGATCGAAGGAACAATGGCTCGGGACGCAATCCCCTCCCCCCCTCCCCCCGGAATGATCGAAGGAACGATCAAGGACAAAATTCTAGGGGACTTATGAGTAAAGCGGTTTCGATAAGCATGTCGATCATGTGGAGGCACCGCGATTGTCGAAATATAACTTTAGCGTTGATGCATCAGGCATTGTATCGGCTATCGAAAGGATCAAAGATACTAGATGGCCCAGACCCATACAAATTGATCCTTCCCAAAGAAACCCAAATTTGATGTGCAAATATCATGGAACGCATGATCACTAAAACGAGGATTGCAGGCAATTAAGGGAGGAGTTAGCCCGTCTATCAACGAGGGCCACCTTCGAGAGTTCCTGAGCGATCGAGCAAAGAACTATTTTGGAAACAGAGATGCCAATAGGAAAGATGAACAGGAGGAACCGCAGCATGTCATTCATATGATCATCGGTGGGGTCGATATCCAACAAGGGCCCGTATTCAAATGCACTAAGGTGTCGATTACTAGGGAGAAGCGGACCCGGGATTACGTGCCCCAGGTTTCCTTATCAGTCAATGATAAGGAAGCAGAAGGCATTTCTCAACCACACAATGACGCTCTAATAATTTCTGTCTTATTAAATAAAGTTCAAGTTAAGCGTGTATTAGTGGATCCAGGTAGTTCGGAGAATATCATCCAATCAAGATTCGTGAAGCAACTCAGCCTACAAGATCTAATTCTGCCCACAGCTCGGGTCTTAAATGGCTTCAACATGGCCAGTGAAACAACTAAGGGTGAGATTAATCTGCTAGTGAACGTGTCCGAAACCATTCAAGATACCAAGTTCCACATGATCGAGAGCGACATGAGGTACAATGCCCTACTCGGGAGGCCTTGGATCCACAACATGAGGAAAGTTCCTTCGACTTTTCACTAGATGATGAAATTCCTGATGTCGGATGGCGTGAAAACAATATACGGGGAGCAGCATGCTGCAAAGGAAATGTTTGCAGTTGACGTGGTAATACCGGTATCAACGTTATCAACCTCGGAAAAGTCGAGCATTAAAGGTAAACAGGAAACCAAATAGCAATCACAGCCACCAGCCTCGATCGAATCGGGAAAGCAGGAGATGGAAGAATAAGAGGAGGATTTTCTGACCCCTCGAACCTTTGTTGTACCCGAAGACTCCGATGACACCAAATCAACGGTCGAGGAGCTGGAACAGGTTATATTGATTGAGTACCTGCCCGAGCGAAAGGTATACCTAGGAACGGGGTTAACCCCCAAACTCAAGAAAAATCTTATTCAATTTCTTATCGATAACATGGATTGTTTTGCTTGGTCCTATTTAGACATGACAGAGATCCCACCGGAGATAACAACACATCGGCTAAGCCTTGACCCCAGGTTCAAATCGGTGAAACAAAAGAGAAGGCCCCAGTCCGAGGTAAATCATGCATTCATAAAGGATGAGGTAACTAAACATCTTAAAATGGGGTCCATTCGGGAGGTAAAATACCCTGAATGGTTAGCCAATGTAGTCGTAGTCCCTAAAAAAGGGAACAAAACTTAGAATGTGTATAGATTACAAGGATTTGAACAAGACATGCCCTAAAGACTCTTTTCCACTACCTAACATCGATCGCATGATCGATGCCACTGCTGGCCACGAGATCCTTACCTTTCTCGACACCTATTCCGAGTACAATCAAATTCAGATGAACCCAGAAGACCAGGAGAAGACATCGTTTATCACCAAGTATGGAACATATTGTTACGATGTAATGCCCTCCGGGCTAAAAAATGTCGGAGCTACTTACCAACGCCTAGTAAATAAGATGTTCGAAGAACAAATAAGTAAGTCAATGGAAGTTTATATTGATGACATGCTAGTTAAGTCCCTGCGCGCAGAGGACCATTTGGCTCATTTGCAGGAAACGTTTGAGATTTTCAAGAAATATAACATGCAACTCAACCCCGAGAAATGTGCTTTCGGGTCGGCTCGAGCAAATTCCTAGGCTTCATGGTGTCAAATCAGGGAATCGAGATCAACCCCGATAAAATCAAGGCCATCGAAGACATCACCGTCGTGGATAGCGTAAAAGCCGTGCAGAGGCTAACTGGGAGGATAACTGCTTTAGGCCGATTTATCTCGAGGTCATCGTATCGAAGCCATAGATTTTTCTCTTTACTCAAGAAGAAGAATGATTTCACCTGGAGCCCGGAGTGTCAACAAGCATTAGAGGAATTAAAACGATACCTATCGAGCCCACCATTGCTTCACACCCCGAAGGCCGATGAGAAAATTTACTTATATTTGGAGGTGTCGAAAATCGTGGTAAATGGTGTCCTAGTTCGGGAAGACCAAGGTACGCAATTTCCCATTTACTATGTAGGTCGAACCTTAGGGGAGAGAGAAACTAGATATCCACACTTAGAGAAATTAGCACTTGCACTAATAA